GGAGCTCTTCATCAATGGCGATTCTTGATTTAAAAGACAACAAAGAGAATGTCTCACCTTCAAAGATGGCCACAATTACAGTCAAGCCTCTGGATTCTTCAACCATTGATAAAGACAAAACCCAAATCAGAATAAGAAGAAAAAGATGTAGAAAGCCTCTTCAAGACATGACCAATCTCTTTCTCTCATCATCATCGTCTTCTTTGTTTCTGATTCGTCACATTCCATCTTCTCCATCTCTATCACTTGATCCCAAATGCATGAAGAGAAGATCTGGTTCTGGTCTCAAGACTGTTACTTCTTCTACCTTGTCTTGTAGAAATCTCAGATGATTTCGTTTCTTTGGGAATTGGTTTCTAATCATCAGATTTGTTTGTCTCCATTTTTGAATTTTGTATCAATTGCTCAATTAGGGGTATTTATCAATACCCATTCTTGGAACCCAACATACAAGAATTACTTCCATGTAATTTAGAAGAAGAAAAAATTACTTCCATGAGTATGTTTCTCAATAATCATAATTTGTGCTCATTTTATTTTCTTACTAAGAATATTTGATTTAGTGTTGCAATTAGAATCCAGCTCAGTAGCAAACGGAAATTGTCTTTCTGATTAGTGATAAGTGTGATCACTGTGTCTTAGTTAAATTGGATTGTGGATTATAGTTTTTTGGCTTAATGGTTTTTTTCTTCCGGCCAATTTCTTGTATTAGATCAGATAATTACAGAACTAATAGAGAAGTTATCGTTTAATTCATTCTTCCACCCTTGAATACGCAGAGGGACTGCGGTTTGGAAGTCAAACCGATAGTGATCGTAGTAACCAATCTTGTCTTGCTTGCTTCTCTTTTTGTATTGCTCTATAAACGTTAGTAATACTGATTTGCTTTCTTAAACGGACCAACACGCAGCTTCATCTTCAATGCACGTTTCTCCATTCAAGCCGCCAGAACATCAGGGATCAATATTTGATCTGCCATAGACAACACCATACGATGTAGAACTTCACCGTAGTCTACTTGATCAGTATTAGAACCGATTAATAACTCCATGACTGCCTTAGGGTCCTCGATGCAAATACAGCCGGAGTCAAAAACAGATCATGAACGTTCCAAAGGGCTTGAAACCCGCCGTGATAGGAGTTCGTGCAGCATCAGCCACGTGAAGGAAACATGACTCCCTCACAGAATCCATAGCGTAAAGAGAGATGCAAAAGATCCTCCTAACGCAGCTCCGGTGATGATCACCGGTTCCTTAGACTGGAGTAGCTGCAAGATAGATATAACTTCAAGATTCTGATTTGTCTTGGAATTTTGGAGACCTTGTTGTTCACTTGAAAACCAGACAAATTCTGAACATGTTCTAAACAGTGACAGATTATCAAAAGCTATTGATTGGGATTTAATTACCTTGGATTTGAGTTTAGAGAGACCTTTATAGGTAGAGGAAAATAACTTAAAAAGCACGAGTGTGAACAGAGAATGATGCGTAAAAGATGAAGTTTCTTTTTTTGCTTTTGGTCTTCATAGAGTGTTCATTTGTCCCACATCGGAAACATAGAGAAGCGTTAGTCATTTAGTTCGAGTATACAAAGGAAGCCGAGCACTACTTGCGAAATCATACCTTTCTCGTAGTATATGTTCTTATCAGTTTAATATATGGTAGTGGTGCAACATGCCCACATGATATTAACTCCATTTCTTTAGGGAGAAAGTCCATTAAGGTAGCTTGCTATCTGGAATTTCTCGAGTCGCCTATGCGTTGCACTATTGCACGGGTTGGCTCAACCCACCAAGCAAATAGCCCAATTTTTATTACAATTCGCACCAATAAAGCCCTGAGACAGCAAGTGACGTGTAGATACTATAATAACTCGTTTCATATCCCACATCGACTTGCAGAACAATAGAACATGAGTGTCATAAAGTGTCAAGATAGTCATTGAACATTAAGTAAAGGAAAGTCTCCAGGCCACTAATCCGCAGAGATGCGACGAGAGAGTCTTGTTGGTTGGGGAGACACAATAAACTGAGACGTGTGTGTGTGTGGAGCTTTCGTGGTCTCTCTACTGAATGATAACATGGCCGCTCGTTTCGCAACCAACAGTTATTCACTCGGTCCTTAATCGGACTAACAGAGCGGGGCTTACTGTTCAATGACAACACCTTTTTTTTTGTTCATCACACACGAAAATACTTCAGTCAGAAAATGCCTCTTCAAGACATGACCAATCTCTTTCTCTCATCATCGTCGTCATCATCTTCGTTTCTGATTCGTCACATTTCCTCTTCTCCATCTCTGTCACTTGATCCCAAATGCATGAAGAGAAGATCTAGTGATGGTGGTCTCAAGG